TTTGCTTCGGCCTCTCACAACAAATGCTTCTGAATGAGAGGAATCCGCTGATTTTCTTCTAGTTTCTTTATTCAATAAGCTACTTGTGACTTGGCCCATTGTGACAACTCCATCAGGTGTCGAATTACTAACCATCACAACCAAAGTCTCCAAACTTTCGAGTAAAGAACTAAATAGCATCAAAGCCTGCAACGCATCATCAAAATAATTTTCATAGAAGCAAGTTGGTTAACAATACTCTTTATTTCATTCAAATGTTCTGGAATGGGGATGCCATCTTTATATTTTAAATTAACCAACTTACGAAACAGAAAGGCTTTATTTGTAGCTGATTTTCTATAATAACGACTCTAATTTTTTCCATAAATCATGTGCTGAAGTTTCAGTAGCAACATCATGGAACACACTGTCATCAATCCATTGACGGATAATACCAATGGCTTTTCGATTAAGCCTATTCCATTCATCATCTTTCATACCCGCGGGTTTGCCACTATCACCCTTAATAGGCCCATACAAATCTTTACAAAATAATAGGTCCTCCATTTTAGTTTTCCAAGTTACCCAATAGCTTCCATTGAAGCTAGACATACGACCCACATTTCCCTCCATTGATTTACACAAATAAATAGACCCAAATAAACCGTAAACTCTGATACTAGTTGTTAGGAAAAATATGTGATTCCTCACAAGTAAATCAATCAATGGGAATAAAAACTAATGCGGAAAAATTAAATCAAAAGCAACACAAGAATTTTTACGTGGTTCCCTCAATGTGAGGTATGTTCACGGGATCGAAATCCGATTCCACTATCAACCAAATAAGTTTCCAAACGATTGCAAACGAGACACGAATGGTCTCACAAAACCATCCTTAGGTGAATTCCAAATAATCACAAATAAACAAGAGGAACGATCTCACCAAATAAAAGAACAAAAATCTTCCAAAACAGAATTGAAGATGACCCAAAATAACGAACCAAATCAGTTTCACCAAAATACCACTGAATTGATCATCAACAATTCTCTAGCAGCCTCACTGTGTACCACAAATCAATTAGCTATTGCTCCACAAAGCAAATCCACCCTTGTTTTGCGTGATGACAAATTGCTCTCTTATCAGCCACTTCTCCTCTACGGAAGAACTAAACAATATCAATATATATTGTGAATCTAGGTTTTTATCAAAACCCTAGTTGTATCCAAATTGAATTAGACCTCCATAAGTTAGATATAATATATAAAATATATTATACCTAAACCAAACCAAATTAAACTCTTTTAATACACCAATTGGGTCCCACACTCCAATAAGGAGGTATACCCAACATATCAAAGGTTCAAGTTTTATTTACCTTCTCGGTTGAAGTATCCATGAATCATCCAAACAACTGGTGACTTACAATGGGCACGCCAGTACCCACCTAAATTCTCCTCACAAAGACAATCTCTAGGATTTGAAGAATGTTTCTCCTAGTCTAACCTAAAACCCACTAATCTACCTATTGTCTCCTATTCAAGTATTACACTTGCATTTGATGAAGGTTTCTCCTAGGCTAACCTACATGCTACTAATCTACCTAATATTTTGTCTTGAAGAACAACACTACTATTCTTTCTAGGTTTCACACAAAGGGCTCACCTAAAACCCACTACTTCAAGTCTCTAGGTTTTCACTCAAGGGCTCACCTAGAACCCACCACACTGGGTTTTACAAAATCACCCTCAGCCTCTTCCTCAATTCAGAATTCAACGAGTTTCTAGGATCACATGCAATCTATACC